AAAAAAAAATCAGAATTTTATAGTATGTGTACAGTGCAACACCAAAGAGCTTTTTTACATTTTAGAGAAGCCAAGTTGCGATACCGAACAGGACCACACGGAGATGACAAAAAAAACCTAAACCAACCGCCTGCTGACTGCATATATCTACTACAGTGCACGGATCCATTCCGTATGACTAAACACAGCAACATAAACATGACAAATCAAAGCATTATCATGAATGTGTGTGGAAATAACGTGAATGTACGAAAATGTATGTGCCTGTGCATAAATACAATGTGTGATCAGTGCATCAAGAGCACTCACACGCATTATTATAATGGACTCACGCGTGCTTACTGTACTGTAGGACTCCTGTACGCCACCGCAATCGTCTTTACCTTGATTGCAGTCTTCATCCATCAAAAATTTACTAACGAGACACTGGTTATCCAGTCGAGAAAACATAGTTTGCATGTGTTGTGTTGACAGTCCGTTCAATCTGTACTTCACACAGCGCGACGTGCGAGAGCTCGTGCTCTTCAGAGACAATCACAGAATATGACAGAGCTCGTGTTTAAAAGCGAAACACACTGGAATGAATAATTAACTGAAAACGCAACGCGAGTCTTTGTTTTCTCCGCAATCTCTGATGTAATCAGCCTGGTTTCCTTTATAGTAGCGCTGTTTTGGATGGATTGTTTGAATGCATTTGCTTACTGGATCATTGGACTGAAAAAGTTCCCGGAGTTTAGCGGCTTAAAATGATCTAATCGCAAACAGAGTAGCAAAATGGGGTTAAAGGGTTAGAATAGAAATTGTGCTTCAGTAATTTGGACTCTATCTGTGTGTTTTTCCCTCTCCACGTGCTTCATGATCCAGTTTTCCAATGTTAATTGTTTCATTAGTTCCAGGTGTGTGTTGTCAATTACCCCATGTATTTAAGGTCCTGTATTTCTGAGGTTCTGAGGTTGTCTGGTATTGAATGTTCATATTTCCCCGCAACGTGTGTGTTCCTGGTTCCGTTGGATGTCTATTAAAGTCTGTTAGTTTGAAGTCTGCTCCACGTCTCCTCGTTCCTCGCTCCGTGCTCCTCACAGTAGCTATCGTGACAGAATACCGGACCCTAAACAGTTACCTCCGTGTGTTCCCTCCATTTTTGTTTCCGTTTTTACCCAGGGTTTTTTGTTTCCGTTGTGCCCATGGATCCTCTCGCCCGCCCTGAATACCTCCTCCTCCTGCTGGAGCAGGGGGAAAGATTGCTCGAGGGCCATACCAGGGTTTCTGGCCCTCACCGAACTCACCAGCTATCCAGACAATGCGCTCTGTGCGTTCTATGATGCCAGCCTGAACACCGCGTGCAGAGTGCCATCGTCCGAGGATGGTCCTCAAGTGGATTTCGCCGCCTTTGTGGAGTGGATTCTGGCGAGAAATGGATCGCCATTCACCATCTGCCCCATGAATGATCTCGCCGGATCCACTCCTGACACATTGCCCAGCCCACCATCTCCCCGCTGTGCGGAGCGCATGCTAGAACCCAACGCTGACGGAGAGCCCGAGCTCGCTGCGGCCAACGAGACGTTGCCGCAAGGAGCGACAGAGCAACGGATTGGTGTATGGTGCGGTGACTGTGCCACACTGAAGAGGAGAGGGCTCCCGTTCCTAAGTTCTGGAATGAAAGCCCGGAGGCTCACAAATGCCCACCCTCCCACCTGCTCCTGCCTCCTCCTCCGCTGTTGTCTGTCAGCCCCTCTGCTCGCCCTCAGCCCACCATCAATACGGTGCGAGCCCCGTGGGTCTGCCATCCTCCATCGTTGCCGTGGCTGGAGCATCCCTCACCTCCGCCTCCAGCCTCCTCGGCCCGGACTCCGCCTCGGCCCCTAGACCCACCAGCTCCACCGGGCTCTCTCGTCCCTCCGGCTCCACCTTGATCGGGCGTCGACCCGCCATCGCCTCAGGACTCTACTCCTCCAGCTGCACCTCGTTTCTCCTTCCCACCGGCTCCGTTGGGCTCCTCCCTCCCGCCAGCTCCACCTTGGTCCTCAGTCGCTCCGGCTCCGCCACGGATCTCCGCCTCGGTCGCCAGAGCCCTCGGCTCCACCCTGGCCCCCCGGATCCGCGGCATCCCCCTGGCTCGTTGGCTCTCCGCCTCCGCCTCGGGCTCCTCCTACACCTGCTCTGCCGCTGTTGGT